GAATGACAAGGGCAATGGGCAGGAGAAATGTATATTGGCAGGGCAGGGCTGGTGGAAAGGAGGGCTGGGTGGTTGGTGCAAGGGGCTGGAGTCCCCCCCTGCCTCTGGATGAGGCTGGCACCCATCTCTTGGAGGAGATGTGAGGCTCAGAGGAGCAGGTGGGGATGCTCCGGGGATGCTCATGGGATGCTCAGGCAGACAAGAAGGTGGTTGGAGGGAGTGGAGCAGATGCAAGGAGATTTGGAGACACTGCTCAGCCCTGGATTCTGACCTGCCCATAATGCTTTCCCTTCCTGTCCCTGGTAGATTACTTCAATGGAGCCAGACTGGTGGTGGAAACCCCCAAAGACCCTGTCTACAGCTCCAGTGGGGCCAATGTCACCTTGCCTTGCCACTACCGCTTTGAGCCTGACCAGGAAGCCAAACGCAAGATCCGCATCAAGTGGTCTAAGCTGCGCGACGACTACACCAAGGAGCAGGATGTGCTGGTGGCCATTGGCAGGACCTATGTAACCTTTGGGGACTTCCACGGCCGTGCTCACATCCTCCAGACTGGCCGGCGCGAGGCCTCGTTGGTCATCAGCGATGTGCACTTGCAGGATGATGGCAAATACCGCTGCGAGGTCATTGATGGGCTGGAGGACGAGAGCGACGTGGTGGACCTCCATCTGCAAGGTGGGGGCGTGGTGGGGACCGTGTGACCCTCTGTGCTAAGCCAGTGAGCCTGGCCTTCCTGTGGCACCCCTCCTTGGGGGAGGTAGCAAGGCAGGGGGGGTTGAAGAGCCCGGCTGTGGGCTGAAAGGGGCTGGGATGCTCAGTGTGATAGAATGGTGGCGTGGGGCTGTTTGACTCTGGGGTCGCAGCAGTGAGTGAGCCCAGAGCAATCTTCCCAGCCAGAATGCTGGGGATGCTACTGTGGAGTCAGAGCTGGGGTGACCCTGTGGCTGCAGCATTTCCTGCCTCTACCCATCGGTGTTCCTGTTGTGCTGCATCGTGTGCAGCCACCCCCTCACCTCCCAGCTGTGCGTGTCCCCACACATGTTGTGATGAGCCCTGGTGACTCGTCCAACCCCTCTTGCTCACTCGCCGTGAGGGATCTGACTCATTCCTGGCTCCACTGCCAAGCTTAGAGCTGGGGAAATGTCCCCCTTTGCTGTTCCCTTGCCCACCACCTCAGTCCCTGGACCCTGCTTCCCATGGTGGCTTGTCCCCACTGGTCTCTGTGACTGTGGTCCATGGTGGTGGTGCACATGTTACTGTGGTCCATCCATTCCCATGTTGGTGGTCCAGGTGTTCCTGGGATCATGGCCCCTATGCCCCTGTGTTGCTGGTCGTTGTGTCCCTGTTCCCGTAGCCTGTGCATCCCCATGATGATGGTCTCTCCATCTCCACTGGGTGGTCTGTGTTTCCCTGGGATCACTGACCGCGTGTCTTCAGGATCCTGCTCTCTAGGACCGTGTGACGACGGTCCCTGCTCCCCCATTACCCTAGTCCGTGCATCCCTGTACGTGCCGGTGCCACCCCCGCGAGGGAGGTCCGTGTGTCCCCAGGACCGAGCCCCTGTGTCCCTGTGCCACCAGATGTCGCTGGCAACTCGCCGCTGGCGCCTGCACACCCGGAGCAGCCCCATCCCCACACGCCGGCCCTCGGGTTGTGCCACCCTGGGATGGTTCCTGGCCCAGAGCTTGAACCTGGGATGGGCTGAGGCCCCCCGCGGCTCCTGCGGGGCTGGGCTCGGGGCTCGGGGGAGCTGCCTGCGGAGCCGGCTGAGCGCCCCATCTGCCCCCAGGCATCGTGTTCCCCTACCAGCCTCCCCGCGGGCAGTACAGCCTCAACTTCCACGAAGCCGAGCGAGCGTGCCAGGAGCAGGGCGCCATCCTCGCCACCTTCAACCAGCTCTTCCAGGCCTGGAGCGAGGGGCTGGACTGGTGCAACGCGGGCTGGCTGGCCGACGGCACGGCGCA